GGGATTCTGTAGATGAGAAACAAGGACGTATTAGGAGAAAAACCTTGCCTCTGTGGAGTTTCTGGGCTAAGTATATAAAGCCATAACTCTCAGCCCAACTGATCCTGTTTAAAAGATGTGTTTGTGAAGCACACCACTTGTCATTAGGACAAAGGATGCAGAGAGAACAGACATCTAAATATCTCCAGAGGGAACATTTTCTTCTTGTTAGACTGTGTATTTAGTGAGCAGCTAAAAGCCTTTATAATGATAATGCTAGGGAATGAAGCCCACATATGTGTGATAAGTTATGTACGTTCTATTTGGCTGTACAATGCAGTGATTTGTGGGGCACAGTTTGATCCATGGTGTTTCCAAATCCATCTCATAATGAGTTGAACTTAGCACCTGCTTCTGTGCTCTAAGCATGTCAAAGCTTAGCATGGTGCGGGAGCACTGTGCTTAACTTACTAGGATATATCATTATAAAGAGGAAAACTAGGGTATGTCCCTGCAAGAGACTGAAAATTAGAATAAGGGGAGAGAACTTGTCCTTTTTTTTCTATTTTGAGAAAAGGTAGAATTAATTCTAGTGGTAAGAGTGGCAGTTGAATGGCAGGGCGAGGAGGGAAGCTGATGAGGTGGGGAGAGATTAGGGAAAGCAGTTATATGAGGTAGAGGTAAAGTAACAAGATAACTTTTAAGTCCTTATCAAGCCAGTATTTGAATTAGTGCTGTCCTTCAAAATTACCTTGAGAGCACACATCTGTATTCCAGAGATGTTACCACTGCTCAAAACATCTTGGGCACTTATTGCTCTTGGAGATTTCTCTTGTTACTATTTATAGTAGGTTGTAAAGTTAATACCATTTCATAACGATGACAGACTATGGCATTATTTCTATCACTTTGCCTGTTTGTAAATGGACAGGAGAAATATCCTTCCATGGATCAATGCCTCCCTGTCAGCAGCCTTTATATACCTATGGCTTATTCTCTGAGTCTTCACAGAAGGACTACTATGTGGTGGGAGCAATCTGAATATAGCTCTCAAGTGCCCAGTTCTGGATCTCCCTACTTGCAAGGACCAGGGCACACAATTAAGATCAAAGTCTTTTTTACAAAGTGATCCTGACAGGACAATGCCCAGAGACAAAGGAAGCACAGGTACCAGGCAAGTCTCTAGAGAAAACACCTAGTCATGAGAGTAACAAATGCTGTTTGGGTTCATCTGATGGGACACAGGCATTGCTTTGATATACAGAATTCTGTGTAGTAGTATTTCTTATAACATGATTTTATCTGCTCTGTTAGATGCAGGTTGTACAGAGGAGGAATGTTAGATGGATTCTAACAAGTGAAATTCTCACTTAATTCAGCCAGAATTTGAGAATACAGCAATTTCTCTCGATACTTCATTCTGTTAACATGCATCTATTGGGCATACTATGTGTTAGGTATGGTACTAGATGATCAGGGAACAGTGCAGTGTAAGTCGGACCTGATTCCTGCCTCATTGATATGTATATTCAGATAATAAAAAACAGATATCACTGAGTGACAAGATATTATAGGAGTGTTTCAAGAGCCATGAGACTATATTGTAGGTATATTATATAGTCTAGGGGTTTTGGGAGGCTTCTTTGAAAAGCTAAGGAAAAGTAGCAGTCAGGAAGATGGAAGGTGGAAGAACATTGCATGTGGAGGGAATGGCAGGTGCAAAAGTCTGGAAGTAGGAACTGACGATGGTGCAATTGAGTTGAAAGAAGCTTAATGAGGTTAGCAGGTAGAATAACAGAATAGTATAAAAGAGGCTGGTGAGATTATGGTTGGATAGATCACATGTGGGGCTAAATGAAGAGTTTTTTAAAGGAAATTGAAAGGCACTCTAAAAACCACAGAAGCCATGGAAGCATGTTAAAAATGGGAAATGATTAGATTTACATTTCAAAAAGTTTATTCCAGCTTCCTTGTGCAGACTCGATTGGGTGGGGATAAGACATGCAGGCAAGGAGACAAGACTGGATGTCACTCCCATGTCTAGGCAGGCACTAGTTTCATGTAATACCCAGGGGCTATGAGGAATGTCCAGAGTCTGGGAGCTCTTTAGGGCTAATCTTCAAGCACTAATAAAGTTGCTTTTAAAACATGGTAATGTGCGAGGTTGGGCAACCTCGAAAGAGATGGTGGTTTGGGACAGCGCAGGGAATGAAGTTCTCGCCCTCTAGAGGGCCATGGCTGGGGAGCTGTCCAGGAGGCAGGTGCTGAATAACTGAAGCAAGGACTTGCCTAAGGATACTTCATGGGATGTGGGCAGATGGTAAGGTGCTAACGCCTACCTCAGGGTCAGGAGGAAGGGAGTTAACTTTTTTTAAAAAAAATCCATTTTCTTTTTCTCTTTCCCTCATTTATGTCCTTCCTCTACCTTCACCATCTTCCCATTTTCATTTTCTGGAGATCCAGGCAGCTATAGCACACTGTCTGAAAGTAAGAAGGATAATGTGCTTTCCCTTATAAGAAGGCTACAGAGCATCGATGATCACAAATTCATAAGAAACTTAGCCCCCACCCTAGGGTTTCATTACTGGTTACTATTGCTAAAATGGCCATCTTAGCCTCTTCTGAGGCATTAGATGGGGAGATATTATTATTACTACTAAATCTTTGTTATTATTAGTAGTTATTACTAAGCATTTACTGTGCGCCAGGCAGTTCACCAAGCACTTTACTTCTCCAAGCTTAAGAGGTAGATTTTATCGTCTTTGTATAATTGAATATGGCTTGACTTAGAAGATTGGAGTTTGTGGTTTGTTCTATTTATTCAATAAATTATCTGAGGCCATATAACTAAGGGATGATGATGGAGGGTGTGGGAAATAAAACTTACTGATATGTACTATACATAGATGCTTTTGACAGTCAGTTTTAGTCTTATAGTAACCCTGTAAAGTTGCACCGGTATTATAGAGGTTCAGTTGGCTGAGGTCACACAGCTAGTAAGTGGCTGAGCCAGTTTTTAAACTTGGGACTCTCTGACTCTAAAGTCTGTGCTCTGCCATCCACAGTTCTTCAGTTTTTGGGGGGCAGCCACACATACGTTGAGGTGGATTTTAGCATGTGAAAACTGCTCTGCTTCCTTCTCCTGCAGTTCCATTGCCTCAGGGTCTGGATGCCTTCCTCCATCACCTCTAGTTCCAGGGAGGGGGAGGCCAGCATCCCACATCAGAGCATGTCAGTGATGTGCAGGCTCCTGGTGCGCAGGGCCACTCGCATAATTGCACATTTATTAGGTCATGAGGCATCATCCAACCAGGCTGGCCTTTGTCTCAATCCCCACTGGACAGTTTGGTCTCAGTATTAATATTGGAAATGTCAGGCTGGTAAACAGCTTTTAACAGGAAGGAGGGAGGCTGAGAACAAAGTCTCCTTCAAACAAAACTTGAGCCGATGGAAGTGAACAGAGTCAACATCTTACTGGCCTTAAATCCCCTGGAGTGGCTATGAAAGAGAGAGGACTAGCTGGATTGAGGGAAAAAAAAAAAAAACCTTTGATTCATCTGAATTAATTTAGCATCTCCCAGGAGGGAGGACTCTGGCATAACCTGCCTTTTCCCCATCCCCTGCACACAGCCCCCACAATCCCAAAGGACAAAAGACTAGTCTAGGGTGAGGGCACCCACACTGCCCCTTCCTCCACTTTAATTAAATCCATTTGTCCTGGGGGCAGCGCGGACCCCTGGGATGTCCGAGAGCTTTGATCTTTAACCCATATACATCTGAAGGAGTGGGGAGCTGGTGCTCAGAGGCAGATGGCGTCTTCCTGTGACAGCGCTGCTTGAGTTATGAGCTCTTAGAAATCAGCAGACAGAAGTCTGGGTGAAGAATTTGAGACTCAGCTTTATATTTACAAACTGCATGCCAACTGGCATCACCCTCCCCTTTACTTTAAGCCCTTTGCCTTTATTTTTTGAAGGACCCACTAGGACGGTGAATTGTTTGGGGAGTCGAATGCAGAGGCTGTACTGGATCGTATGGTTTGACATTTAGCCTGTTAAAGACGGCTTAAAGATCCCTTCCAGATCCATTTACCGGGTCCATTTATATACATGACTCCCTCGCTGCTCCCTCACTTTTTGATCTGGAACACATCAGCACCAATCATTGAGGGTTCGGTGTGACACAGCAGAGCACCATGTGAGCCGCTGGGGTGGTCAGGCGCTGCTTGCTCCAGACTGACTGCAGGTGGCAGACTGGTGCCATCCTGGGCAGACAAGTGGCAGCCGAGCATTACTGCTCCATTTCAGAGCCACAAGGCATTAACCATCTTGTATTCCAACCCTCTCAGTTTAAGATGAGGAGACTGAGGCCCAGAGGAGTTCAAGGTTACAAAGGCCATTAGTCTTAGAATCTAACTAGGAATCTGGGTGTCAGGTAGAAGCACTCCCTTGTTTACTGAATAATTCTTATTCACCTGCCTTGGGGACCAGACTTCTAGGAGCGCTGGACTGGGGTTGGCTGAAGCACCTGTCCCCACTTCAGTGCTGACCTGCTGGTGCTTCATCTCTTTGGTTCTCAATGAAGAAGAACCTTGTCAAAGGGCAGGAATGGGGATACATGAGGTATGTCCTACCTATGTCACAGGTTTTCTTGTCGCTAATAAGGAATAACTAAAATGTCAAATGGGAGAGTAAGGCAATATCCATTAATTAAGAGAAAACGCCATATACATATAAAGCCTGATTATTATCATATGAGTTGTTTGGTTTTACTTTCTGCTACAGATACCAGAGGGAGCCAATCAGGCTAGGCCAGAGGTGTGAGAGATGAGTGCTCATTAGCACGGAAATCCCTCCGAGTATCAGTGCTTCCTGTAGGTCTCCAGAAAGTGTGTGTGTGAACATTTGTGTGTGCGCATGTGTATGTGAGATCTGGATGGAAGGAGTGGCAGGAGGGCGGACAGGCCCCCTCTTGCATTCTGGCTGACAGAGGAAGAGGGACAGATGGGACGGGAAAAGGCCCACCTGTCAGCCACCTCGAGGAGAGGCAGCACCGTCCACTGCCACAGGCTCAAGCCTTCCAGGGTGGCAACATGCCAGATCATTCGGCTTTGTTCCTTCCCGGTTTTGTTCTCCACCAGCATCAAGGAGACATTTCCCTGCAGGACTCCACGGATGAGCCAGGACATTCGGAGCTGCAAGGAAAAGAAGAGTCAGAAGGACAAGATGTTACTGTTGAAAGGAAACTGTAGGTCAAATTTCTGGAATTCTCAAGGATTTTGCTGGAGACTCAGCCCAGGTCTTCCTGTGAGGAGAGCTGGCCAAGCATAGCCTGACTTTGTTCATTGTCTCCCATTTTCACCAAGGTTCAAGGAGCTGGGAGGGGAAACTGATGGGCAATTTCGGAACTTTGTTCAGGTTGATGGTATCATCCTAAATTTCATAGGCTTCTGCCTTCTAAGATCAGTGGGGTATTAAATGAACTTTCTAAAGAGAATTCAAAGAGTCTTATCTGTGGTCCCAATTCACTTTGTGACCTTAGGCAAGTGATTTGGTGATTCAATTTCTTTTAATGATTTAGGTATCACTGATTTTTATTCCTTTTAAAGACTAATAATCTTATTTGAATGGTACCATGTCATTTGTTAGCTAACTGGAGACCCTATGACTCGATACCTGTGGCCATTGGTGGGCAAAGGTGAGACAAGAATCTACCTATCAAGATTTTTTAATATGATATCTTTCAGAATGAGGGTATACACTTTGCCTAAAGCAAGATACAATTATGTGTTTTCATTGTGTCTTTATTAAAGGTTTCTATGGCATTGTACCCTAAGACATAGGAAAGGGAATAACTAATTTATCTCAGGAAGTTTCAGTACAGTCATGCCCAGAGGCAGTATATACTATAAACAAGGTCTCTGGTCTTTGTGCTTAAAATAATAGAGGTTGTATGTTTGATAGAAACAGTCTATAGCAACATTTAAAACTTAAGACAACTACAGCATATCATGCCCTAAATATTCCTGTTTAGATCCTTGTAATAAAAATGGCTATTATAGAAAGGAAGACAATATATGTCCTATGGCAACCTGGAGTTTTCATCAGCTATGGTGCCTCCTTTTTTCTGATTCTCATTGTCTAAAGACATGCTTCTTTGTAAATCACTACTCCTTTTCTCTCAGTCTTTAAGTTCACAGTTGCCTGACAATTTGTTTAAAGAGGTTACATACCATGAAGCCCTTGAAGCAGAAGACCCCTCACTCTGTTGCATACCAACCCTTCACTAACAAGCCACCCCTGGCATTGCAGTGCCCATGTGCTATTCTACTTCTGAGAGCTGAGCCTGGTGAGCCTGGTCTGTATAACCATAACCTCTTCACTTCTACCTTTCCCATCCTCCTGCATCCTCTGTAGCATGGTCTCCACTGCACATCTCTAGCATAATTTCCCAAATCTGTGAAATTTTTTCACTGGCTCCACTCAGCTTTCTTGAGCAACCTGGATGCCATGGTTGGAAATTTTAACCCTCCTCTTGCTAGTGAAGCTCCCTCTGCCCTCAGCTCATCGTCCTGCAGTGCCAGCTTGGGATGATGCTTGCCACATAATTTTGCTCCTTTTGCTCCCTGGCCACAGAATAGTGCTGATTTGGACTGTTGGAGCCTCAGTGTCCTGGATGACTGGTGATACTTATTCATCCGCTGGTGATTTCCACAGCTGATTTCTTAACACATGTAGTACAATGGGTGTTTCAAACTCTTCCTCAAACATTGATTTTGTCACTTTCTGGTCCCCAACACCCAATTCATTCTTATGATTCCTACTTTACTGATGAAGATTTACTATATCAAATGCATTCTCCTTTAACCTCTTTTTTTTTCCCCACAGCATAAGTATCTATTTATCCACCTTCTCTCTTCCTTTCCTGTTTTAGAGGAAGATGTACCCTCTGCTTTCTTCTATGTTAACCCTTTCTCTTTTCACCCTGCAACCTCTGTCCTTCCTTTCTTCAGCACCTTCGAAGTCTCTCTACTTTCTGGCTCCTCAATTTACAAACAAGATCAGGTTTCACTTCTCCTGGAAAAACATCCTTTATTTGATCCTGCTGCTGGATGCTTCGGCTTACAATCTACTTCTATACGTCAATTCAGATGTTAACATCTTGGAAAACTGGCATGTAACCACTGCTTCAATTTCCTTGTTGCCCATTCTCATAAATCCTTTCAACCTGTCTTTTACCATTATTAGTCTAAAGTAACATTCATCATGTCCTTTACAACTTACTCGTTGTACTCTAGATTCCATAGCCTCCAAACGTGCCTCTCTATCCATTCTTTCTCTCTTCTAAATTCTTTTGTATCTCTGTCACATTTTCCTGTTTATCACTGCCATCTGTGACTCTTCAATGGTTTCTCGCTATCAATTAATAGCAAGCCATTCACATTCCTCTATAATCTAGGCAAATCAACTTTCCAGTCATTCAATAGATGTTTATTGAGTACTCTTGCTGAGCCATGTGTATCATCCTAGGATGGTCTAAGAGCTCTGGAGTCTGAGAGATCTAGATGCAAAACTTGTCCCTGCCACTTCGGTAAATGTGAAGCTCAGTTCTCCATTCTCTAAGATGGGAATTATTTTAAACTTACAAGGTTGTAGAGACAATTGAATGAGGTAATAAATAGTGGAACAAAAGGTTAAAAAGGAATTCTGGTCGAAGCACGGAGGCAATAGATACTGCATTTCAGTGGGAAGTCTGACAGCACAGTGACGCACAGGGCTCTCAAGAGGGGTGGACGAAAACAGGGTACGCAACTCTTTACCCCTCGTCCATGCATCAGATGCAGAAAAGCTGGTGGCTGACTACTAGGATACAGTTTTGGGCAAGTGCTTTTGGTGTATCGTGAGTTCCACCTCACTTTGAGGAAGGTTCTCTCTTCACCCCAACTGATGAGAGAGTGGTTTCAGTGATCCCACATCAAGTACTCGACATTTACCCCTTGCAATTTGGGAGCACAGTGGATTAGGGTCTATCTCTCATCTGGAAAAACCTGAAGCATGAACAAGAAGGTGGTTAGCTTCTCTGATGGCAGAACAGAGGCAGTGACAATTTTGGGTGGCTTGCATTCCCAGAGTTTGCTGACACAAAAGAAAAAAAAAACAAGCATGAGGGCTGCATATAGGCTACACTAGAGTGAACTGTGTACAAAGGAGCCCGTGTCAGTCATTTCAGATCTTACCTGAGAGTGCTGTTTGGAGGGAAAATATAACTCAGCAGAAAGCAGCTGCAGGCATACTGAGATGCTCAAGGGCAGGGGAAGGACTAAGTGACCACCTGGACGGGAGAGACACATATGCCCTAGCCAAAGCAACAGTTGCCCAGCCATAGTGGAGGGACTGGGGGAAAAGCAGATCTCCAAAGAAACCACAAAAATCTCCCCTATAAGAAAGAGTAAATCCTTACATACTTGTCATGTCTGGAGAATACCAATGAAGATCACCACAATGGTCTGGGCCAAGTAAGAGCTTCCCTGTTCCCCTGTTCCCCTTATCTCTTCTCCTTCCCCACACTTAAGATCTTGAAGGGTCAGTCAGCAAGAAGAGGAGGAGTTGGGTGATGAAGAGAGAGATCAATGACCACCCTCTCCCTCATTTCAGGCTTTTCATCTGCAATAAGGCCAAGCATGGTGGGTGGAGGGGAAAGGACAAAGCCCTTACATCAAAGTGAGAGGGAAGTTTTGATTTCTACATAAGCCTGCATTTGGGGTTTTGAAGTGACTTTAGGTCTGCAGTACCATAAAGTGACCAGGTAAGTAGTAGGATCTGCTGAAGTTTTTACCCAGGAGTCCACACGTGGGGGCTCAATGAAGTGGGTTCCTAGATTCCACCCTCCCCCCACTAGCTTACATGCCAGATTCACACTTGCCATTCATTTTTCTGCTTCTGTGCTTTTGATCCTTCCATTCTTCCACCTACTCTTTCCTTCCTGCCACTTATAAAAAATAAACCTTTTTGTTCATGGAGCCGTTTCTTATCGATCTCAGAAATGACCTCCCACTGGTCAGAAGTCTCATCACTGAGGCTGGTGGGGCCATCAGGGTACAGCTCTGCCACCTCGTCTTCCCTCCCTGCCCTCAGCCCTCTTGGGCCACTAGTTCCTTCAGGGCAGGGACTGCTTTACTGACCTTGAATTCACAGTAGTTGTCAAGTGTACGCACATGACAGGCATGGATCAATGTCAAAAGGAACAAAAATGTACACATACACAGGAAAACCCTTCTCTTTACCAGGTCCTCCTCTCAGGGAGGCAAACCAGCTCTGCATCCTGTGATGCTCCTTAGCATTTTCCTGCATTCCAGGGGTCGGGTTCAAGGAAAGCAGGGAGGGTCTACCCACTTCACAGCTAATGACTATAGTCAAAACTGCATACCTCTTGGCCGCTCTTAGGAAACTATATTTGAAGTAGATTCTGCTAGTGGCATGAGCATGTTGGTGAGATATAGTCCTGTCTCATAGACATTGGGTGCCACTGGCCAGTGACTGCTGAGCTTTCTCCATCTTTCTGCACTATTCACTCTATTTTATGACAGCAAGCCTGGGCAAGAGAGAACTGGGCTGGCTGCCAAGAGATGGTGCTAAGATGGCATCCTTAGCTCCTGAGGCGGTGACCCAGGATCCTTCTTGAAAGAGATGACCATTCACTCATTCAGCAAATAAGTATTGTGTATCTATTCTGAACTGATTATGCATACCTTCCCTGCCTTCAAGGAGTTTATTATCTAGTGAGGAAATCTGAATTTAAATGAATAATGGCAACTGTGCTGAGTATGGCAAGAGGGAAAATAATCAGAGCCACTTGACAGTGTAGACATAAGACAGTCAAGACACCTGATAAAAGATAGTCAGGACTTGGATTAAGATGGCCACTTGATCCAACTGTTCAGTGCTATGGATAAAGAGAAGAATTAAACTTTCATTTTACAGTATTACCATCTGTTTGGAAAGCATATATCCATAGCCAAACTCAAGTCAAGGGGATGCACTGTCTGAGTTTCATTTAAGTCTAGTTCTAGAAACAGATGCAAAAGGTTTGGAGTAAGATTGCCTACTGGTAGCCAGTGAGCAGCTAGCAAAGCTTGTTTTTTGGCCATTTATGTTTTCATCCACTGACTGTTTGGTAAGATGATGTATCCAGGCA